CCAAGGAACTTACAGAGGGGGTCGTTTGCGACCTTTCCTTCTCCTCTTCCTCCATATTCTTCCTCCTCCTACCAGGACTAGCAGGATGCTCTGCTGCAGTTGACGGAACGATCGGAGAGGCGGGAGGGGAATTTCCGAGTTCTTGTGTTGGGGTGTTGGCGTCAGCCTGTCCTCGAGGTAGAGTGGCACAGAGACGAGGTGGATGCTCTGCGTGGGACGGGAGGGGGGGGGTAACGAGGGGAGGAGGGAATATTAGCAGATGTTTTATGTTGTGAGTGCGTGCGTGCATGTGTGTGTGCTTGTGTGTGTGTGCGTGTGTGTGTGTGTGTGTGTGTGTGTGTGCGTGCGTGTGTGTGTGTGTGTGTGTGTGTGTGTGTGCGTGCGTGTGTGTCTGTGCGCGCGTGTATGTGTGTGTGTGTGTGTGTATGTGTGTGTGTGTGTGCGTCGCTGCCTTTGTTCCCCTTCCTGGCCGGCTGCCGTTGCCGCTCTCCTGCTCTTGCTGCCCTCCTGCTGCGCCTCTCTTGATGCTCCTGCTTGTCACTGCCTGACGTACTCCTTCTCCATGTCTTCGTTTCCCCTCTTGTCCTTCTTTCCCCTCTTTGCCCTTGCTCCCCTCCTTCCCCTCGTTCCCCTCGCCCCCCGTCCCCTCGGGACTGTCCCCTCGCGAGTGTTGATGGGTGTATCCAACTTCTCCATGCTGCGTGGGGTGTGCTGGCCCGCGTGCTTCCGCTTGATTTGACATACGCCGCGCCGCCGCGCGCGTGGCCGTGACGCCAGATTGTGTGAGTGTGCGTGTGGGTGCGTGTTTGTGTGTTGGAAGTGCGCTTGCTGTCTGCGTGTGCATTGTGTTCGTGTCCGATCACTGGAGACATCCATCGGAGGACCGAAATAGGTAGGAAATATTGATTACAAGGTGCAACAGCAGTACTTGCTTATTCTGAACAGGATTCGCCGAAGGCGTCGCCGCGGTCGATTTCCGTTTGAGACAGAAGCTCGCCTGCCCGACAGCTGCCGCTGCCGGTTTTAGGCAACATCTGCTGTTGGGCAGCGTGGTCGTTTTTTTCGTACTGCAGGTTCGCGGCGTGTCGACCGGCGGCCATCCCGCCGCCATCGCTCAACGTGGAACGCCGTTGGCGACCCAGACTCGGTCGATGTTGAACGATATGACGTTTCGGAGACGGCCGATCGCTCAAGGTTGAGCCGACCCACGCGGTGTCAGGAGCCCTCGCCAGGGTCGACACGGCACGAATCTGCCGTACCAGTTTGGGACGCCCAGCCCACTGGCTTCCGCGGACCTGTGCTGGCCTCCAGAAAGACGCCAGCCCGCCAGCGCCAATCCTGCGGCCTCCGCCACCTGCGGGTTGCCCCAGCGCTTCTAGGGGGGCAGAGTTGCGGGCTTCTCGGTCTCGCCCGGGCCCCAGATGGGAGACCGAAGAGCCCTCGCGGCTCCCTCCCCGCGCTCCTGCAGGCGCCGCGCCGGCGTCGACCGCAGCTCCCCGCGCGCACCGTGCGCCGCATGTCGCCCATCGGCCACATCTTGTGGCCCCCGTCTTCTTCGCGGCGGGCCTGCTCCGGCGCAGAGGGGCCCAGAGCGTTTCTTTATATATAGATATAAAGATAGTATGTGTATATATGTGTATGTATATATACATATGTATTTATGAATGCATATACATACACACATACATATACATATATATATATATAGATATATACTCTGGCAAGTCTGCTTGCATGGCAGTTCCATCCCACCCCTCCGCCGCTGTAGATGCTGGACTGAAGCGGCGTGCAAGTGGGTCCGGGCTTGCGTGGAGTGCAGATTTCTCCTGTCGGGCCTCGCCGTGCCCCGTGCCCCCCCGCCCTCCACTCCATTCGAGGCCTCTTCACGGTGTCGGAGCAGATCGCCGATGCAACGGCGAGACGGCTCGATGTGGAGCCCGATTTTCTCCACGCTGACGTCGCCGATGCACTGCCGACGTCGCCGATGCGTCGGCGATGCATCGGCGATGCGGCGAGATCCTCCGACCCCATCTATTCTTGGGTCGTGCACGCCCTCCTACAGGATGTTGGACGAACATCAAAAATAGTTCTTTCCACAAACAAAACACATCAAGAAATAATCAAAACATTGTCAAACAATCGTGCCCATATTTTTGGGGCTATTTCTAACAGATGTCCTCCTGTAGAGGGACGCGCCCGACATAAATCGACTCCGACCCCATCTGGGAGGCCTCTATCCATGCACGCAAACGTGCCAGGGTCTCAAGGAAGACAGCCTCAGAGGGGCCTGGCAGCCCCAGGCCCGGCTCGGGCGACCCGGATGGTCGGGCCAGAGTTACTTTTAAGTCGGCCGCTCCCTCTACAGGAGGAAAATCAAAAAATAGTCAAAAGATAGTCGGTGAACGATTTTTACACTGTGTTTGCATACTTAAAATCTGTTAGGATTATTTTGCATTTTTCACAAAAAATCCGCCTGCAGGAGGACATGCCCGACTTAAAGTTACTCCTACGCGCCTGCTGGGGAGGGTCACTGGCCGCGAGCCTTAGGGGATCTCTCCACGCGGCGAGCGGCACGAGAGCCCGTCGAGAGAGTCGCTGCCAGGAGAAGGTGGAGATGCTGGAGACCCGCGCGGAGGTGCCCCCCCTTGGGCGGGGGGGTGCGGACCGGCCGGCAACCTCGGCACGCACGGGCTGCGCCCGCCTCTGCATGCTGCTCGTGCTGGTCTGGTGTGACATGCTTGCCTTTTCAGGTCGGCACGGTCGAAATGGGTACGGAAAGAAGAGGCATGACCCCAAACAGCAGTTCCTGTTCATTTTGAGCAGGGTTCGCTGTCCATGCCGCCTCTGGCCTTGTCCATTCGAGACAGACGGCCGCCTGCCCAACAGCAGCCGCTGTTGGTGTTGGGCAACATTTCTTGTTGGGCAGCGTGCCTTTTTTACGCACCCACTTCTGGCGTCCAAGGCATCGGCGTGGGGAGGACGGGAGGGTGGGGGGGAGGAGAAGGATGGAGCATAATCATGGTGGTGGGGTAGTGGGTAGTGGGTAGTAGGAAGGGTTGTCAGCATGATGATGTCGGAGAGGCGCGGGATGAGAGCGAGAATAACAAGAGTGATCTGGTAGGATCTGGCGATTGGCGATTGGGTATGGTGATGGTAGTGATGAGGATGAGGGTCAGCAGGAGGAGGAGGAGGAGGAGGAAGAGAATGAGGAGGAGGAGGAGGAGGAGGAGGAGGAGGAGAAGGAACAGGTGGCGGAGGGGGAGTGGCGATGACGAGGATGGGAGAGGAAAGAGAGCTGCAGGATTTAGGGGAGCATGAAGAGATGTAAGGAGGGGGGGAGGAGGACGAGGAGACAGGTAGTGAGGATGACCTCATACATCCTTAGCCGCCTTTTGTTTTGCCTTCTGCTCCCAGATGGCCGTGTGAGTGCGCTTTCCAGCCTCCTTCTGTGAGAGCCGCCTTTTCGTCGCCGCTTGCTGCACCAATTCGGCCTCGTTGGTGGATTCCGGATTCGACTGCATGTCGGTTGGCTTGCGCCTGCTGCACGTGATCCTGCTTTCCAAGGGCGCGATGTCCCAGACAGTATTGCAATGCTCTGCCATACATCTATATATATATATATATAGATATATAATAAATACGATTCCTCCGTCTCGGGACTTTGCATGTGCTTCGCGGCCTCCCGGTGCCTCCCGGTCTGCACGTGCTTTCGCGGGCCCCTGGTTCCGAGGCCCCGCGACGGGTCGGTCCAGAAGCGCCGCCCCGCTGTGCCTCGGCGATGCTCTCGACCGTGGCGTCCTCTGAGCCTGGCCACCTCTGGTGCCCCTGCGGTGCCCCCCCCTTGGCCTTCTCCGACACCTCGACGCGGGCTCGGTCCGAGACAACACCGCCGTGCCCTTCAGCTGGCTGTGCTGCTCGCGCTCGCCTTCGGTGTGCCAGTTGCACTCGCCGCGCGGGGTGCTCGATGACACGGTTCTGCACGCTCCTTCCTCTTCGTCTTGTGATTTTGCAGGCGCTCTCTCTCGCTCTCTTTCTCTCCTCCCTCTCCCCCCTCTCTCTACCTCTCTCTCTATTTCCCTCTCTCTGTCCCCCCCTCTCTCTGTGTCTCTTCCTCTCCATAGCATCTCCCTTTCTCAACATTTCTAGTTGCAGCCAGGCTTGCTTGGGAATGCGCGCACGCATCCAATCATCCGGGAAGAGGTTTTGATGTTCTGATACGGAATGTCAGACTCGGTCGTGCTCATTGTGTGGCAAGTTTCGGATACACAGCGTCACTGTGGCTCGGACGATTTCGTACCAGAGTGCAGCATGGGCGATGGCTGCCTCGCTAGAGCAGTGAATACGACCAAGCCTGAAAGTACGCGAGCTATATCTGTGGCCACCGCGTAGACAAGTCGTGAAGACCGACGAACACGTCACCAGATCGGAGACGAGCAAAAGCAGCAGCCATGGGCTGGAGTTTTGGATTGTGTGTGTGCGTTGCCCTACTCGTATTTCCGAACTTGTATGTTCAGGCATGGCATTCGGAATTCACAGGCAACTCAACGGGGACGTGCAGTGTGCGCAAACGCCAACCTCATCCTCATTATCAACACCTTCCTCATCATGATCCGTAGCATTATTTTGGTCCGCGAGCTTCGCCCTTCGCTCTCGCCGTGTAAGCCTCTTGGTCCGAGGGCCGTGCGATGCGCGCATCGCCTTCGGCGATGGACTCCTGGATGGCTGGCATGGTCACGCCGCAGCCTGCAGTTATACGAAGTTTGCTCGCGGGGGCAGCGACCTCCCCGGGGCCTCCGGACGAGCTCGCGCCGATGCTGGGGAGCCTGCCCGCGAAGCTCCCGACGGCACTCCCAGCGAAGCCCTCCTGGGGACAGGAAGGTGCGCTCCCGGCGGAGTCCTCGGACGAGGAGCGGGGCACGCCCACGGCGACGCCGCCGACGACGGAGGACGAGCCCACGCCGGACTCCGGCAGCCGCTGCGCCGACGAGCCGCCGACGCCGCGAAGCGCCCGCCGGCGCTCCTCGGCGCGCCCCGCCGCGGCCGGCGGCGAGCCCCCCGCGCTGCCGCCGCCAGGCCTGCGCCCGCCGCCCGGCGGCTGCGGCGCGCCGCCCCGCGGCGGCAGCCGCGGCGAGGGGGGCGGGCGCGGGCGCGCCGCGGACCGCGCCGTGGTGATGCACGGCATCCCCGCGCGCTGCACCGCGCAGGCGCTGCGGGAGGAGATCGCCCACAGCCTGGAGGAGGAGGAGCGGCACGGGCATGAACTCGTGGCGCGCCGCGCGGGTGTCTCGGATCCGCGCCCGAGCCCCCCTGGCGGCGCCTCCCGCGCCGCCCCTGAGGCGCGCTCCGCGCGCCAGGGGAGGGGGGCCCCGCGCGGATCCAAGAGATCCGCGCTGAGCGCCAAAGTTTATGTTCATGATGCCGCTTTTCCTTCTTCTCACAGCGGGTTTGTCTACAGGCGCGACATCCGCGTCCTCCATCTGCTGTGTGACGCCACGGGCGCTAGCCTGGGCCGGTGCTTCCTCGTCTTCGACACGGTCTCCACCAGGAACCAGTTCGTTGCTGCGTGGCACGGCCAGAGGATGCGGCTCGCTGGGGCGTGGGAGCCTGTCAGCTTCGCGACGGCCACCCCGAGGGACGTCCTGAGCTCGCTGGCTGCGGGCAACGAGGTGGTGCCGGAGGACGATCCGACCCTTTGGAGCAGATCCGCCGACCAAAACGAGGGGGGCCCGGCGCTGCCGATCGTTTCTGGGCCGAAGTTGGCAAACTTCTGCACAGCGTGCGGCGGGCGCGTGAACATCTGGAGGAGGGACTGCTTCTGCGAGGCGTGCGGAGCTCCCGTGAGGGGGCAGTGATGTCCTCAGGCGCACAGCCCTCGCGAGCCGGAGGAGCATGGCGCCCTTTTCTCGTCGAGTCGAGCAGTGGGAGCTCGATCGTCGGCGCTTGCTGGCTTACTTGCGTAGGTGATTCGCGCACAAGCGCGCAATCATTCGAGGGGGCTCCTCGGTGAACCCACGCCGTCCCAGGCCCCCGTGCGCGAGAGAGCGAGGACTCCAACTGCGCCTCTCGACACCGTGCCAAGATTTCAGCGGAGTTCCGGCTGGAATGGCTGGGGCGTGGGCACTGGGCCCTCGAGCACATATTTTTTCGTGGGCCCAGGAAGGATTTTGGGTCCGCCTTGTGCTCCCAGGCCAGGGAGGGCAGGGCAGGGCTGCGGGGGGCGAGGCGAGGGGCTGTCTGGAGAGGCTCGAGACCTCCGATCCACGGCAGAGAGGCGGCATACATCCCCCCTCGAAATCAAGCGCGAGGTTTCCCCGCGAGGGCCCAATTATTTTTGAGGTTTGCGCCGAAATTGGCGACTGCGAGCACAAACATCTGACCCCGTGGGCCGCGATTCGCGCGTCGGCCAATCTTAAAAACTTGCATTTGATTTCGAGGGGGGAAGTCGTATTCGTCGCCAACGCTTGTCCAGTCGACGACTCCTCACATGCGCAGTAGTTTCAGTTTTCCATTCTTTCGCGGTACCGCGGTGTCTTGCTTGGCTTCCAGACCCTTCAAGCTGGGGCAGCTAGGGACAGCAGGTGCCGTGATCTGAGTCTGGCAAAGTAATGTTACCCTCCGCCACGCCCTCATTTTGCTTCGTCGTACCTCCCGCTCTGGCGCGTCATGTGAGCGCAGGCACCCTGGAACGGGCTGGATGTAGTATCCCTCTCAGACGCAGCGCCCAGCAGAATCGTATTCCCGAACTGCCGCTCGCGCCAAGACTCTGGTCAAGCACTGGGCTCGGCAAGGGCTCTGTAGTGCTGCCAGCGGCGTTCCTTCTTTCGAGGTCACGGCCTTTCCAAGCATGGCCGAACCTCATGTAGAAATACATGTTTATATACTCATTGTTGCCCCCATGGGCCCATGGGCGGCCCAGGGACGTTCGTCCAGCAATTGATCAGCCGCGTCCCTCCGTCCTCCTTACTCTCCCATTGTCGCCCCGTCCTGTCTTGAGCAACGTGGCTTCGCTCTGGCTTGCTCGAATGCCGTGCTTCCATGTTCACGCCCTCGGGATAACTTTTTGTAAACGTGCTCATGGCCGCGATCGGCAGCATGCGCAAGCCCGGGTTCGCCGCACCAGCGTGGTGTTCGCCGCGCAGAATTCGTGGCCGTCCACGCAGCAGCGCAGGCGTGCCTGGCCCCGGCGCTGGACCAAGCCAGACCATCCCCGACCCCAACTGGGGAAACTTGGTCCCGCAGGCCGACTGTCCCCCTAATGGAGAATGACGATTCATGAATGACCGGGGGTCGTGTTCACGCGGCGGCGCCCGGGGTGACGATTCGGAAAAACCGGCCGCGGGCTGGAACACCATTTTTTTAAATCGTTCTCCTCCAGTCCGAAAATTGTGCAGAAATCGCAGAAAACTATTTTTTGTTCAATCGTTCTCTCCCATTTTTTTTTATCGTCATCCCGGGCAATGTTCGGGGGAGATCGGCTCACGGGGGACGCGTCGACCCCCAACCGTTCGTCTTGATCGCCGCTGCGGGGCGCGATCGCCGGCCCCGCCCAGGAGCCTGCGGCTTCGCTCTCGGGGGCCTCTTTGCAGATCCGTCGGCGATGCATCGCCGACTCCCAGGTCGACGTTCCCCCCCGCTGAGCCGGCGATTTCCCGACGGACGGTCCCCCCTCCCGAGGTGTGGACGGGCACCGTCCCCCTCGCGCTTCGCAGCATCCATCCCCGCCCTCGAGGGGGCTCGGAGGTCTCGACTCGGCCGAAAGAGTGCCGTTCCGTGGGCGCCAGGAAGAAAGGGGGGGGGTTTTGATCCTGCGACGCAGGAAGCTCGAAGCGAGGGATGGGGCCCCCACCCCTGCGATGCAGGGGGGGGGGGGGAGGGGGTCGAACCCGGGGGGCGGGGGGGCCCCACCCTCAAAGGGAAGGAGGGTTCGAACCAGGGGAGGAATTGGGCTCCCCTCCGTCCAAGAGGGGGGGGGTTCGAATCGGGGGCGGGGGGAACCCCCCCTTCGAATTGCAGTGGGAGGGGGGTTCGAACCGGGAGGTCGCTACCCCCCTGAGTTGCAGTGGGTGGGGGGTGCGAGCTGGGAGGGGCCCCCCCCCCTCGCAACCGACGACGGCGAGCACCGGCGCCGGCGCCGTTGGGCAACGACGGCGAGGGGGTCCCCCCCCCGCAACCGACGACGGCAAGCGAGGGCGCCAGCGCCGTCGGGCAGCGACGACGACGACGACGACGACGACGACGACGACGACGACGACGACGACGACGAAGACGGCGGCGACGACGGCGACGGCGCCGCCGCCGGCGCCTGCGCCGTCGGGCAGCGACGACGATGACGACGACGACGACGAGGGCGAAGGCGACGGCGTTGGCGACGGTGGCGACGACAACGACGGCGACGACGACGGCGTTTGCGACGGCGCCGTCGAGCAGCGACGACGATGACGACGACGACGGCGGCGACGTCGACGGCGACGACGACGACTACGGCGAAGGCGATGGCGTTTGCGACGGCGACGGCGGCGGTGGCAACGGCGACGGTGGCGGCGACCAGCGACGACGACGATGACGACGACGACGTCGACGGCGTTGGCGAGGGCGACGGCGGCGACGTCGACTGCGACAGCGATGGCGACGACGACGGTGACGACGTCGACGGCGACGACGACGGCGACGAAAACGGCGACGGCGACGGGGACGGCGACAGCAACGGCGACTGCGACGACGACGATGACGACGACGACGATGACGACGGCGACGACGACGACGACGAAGACGACGGCGGCGGCGGCGGCGCCTGCGACAGCGACGGCGACGGCGACGGCGACGGCGACGGCGGCGGCGACGGCGAAGGCGACGGGCGGCGGCGACGGTGACGGCGACGGCGATGACGGCGACAACGACGACGGCGTTTGCGGCGGCGACGTCGACGGCGACGGCGTTGGCGACGGCGCCTGCGACGGCGACGGCGACGGCGACGGCGACGGCGACGACGATGGCGACAGCGATTGCGGCGACGGGGACGGCGATTGCGACGGCGACGACGACGACGCGCACAGGGCCCTCGCCCACAGGGGTTCGAACGGCGGGGGCCTCCCCTACAACCGACGACGGCGTGCGCCGGCGCCAGCGCCAGCGCCATCGGGCAGCGACGGCAACGGCGACGACGACGACGACGACGACGACAACGACGGCGATGGCGACGGTGACTTCGACGGCGACGGCGACGGCGACGGCGATGGCGACTGCGACGGCAACGGCGAAGGCGACGACATTGGCGACGGCGATGGTGTCGGCGGCGACGTCGACGGCGACGGCGACCAGCGACGACGACGATGACGACGACGATGACGACGACGGCGGCGGCGACGGCGACGGCGAGGACGACGATGTCGAAGGCGAATTTGACGGCGACCGCGACGACGACGGCGACGGCGACGGCGACAGCGACGGCGATTGCGACGACGACGACAATGACGGCGATGGCGACGGCGACTTCGACGGCGACGGCGACGGCGACGGCGACGGCGATGGCGACTGCGACGGCGACGGCGACGACGACGTCAACGACGACGGCGGCGGCGGCTGCGACGTCGACGGCGACGGCGATGGCGACGGCGACGGCGGCGTCGACGGCGACGGCGACGGCGACGACGACGGCGAGGACGACATCGACGGCGACGGCGACTGCGGCGGCGGTGGCGACGGCAACGGCGAAGACGACGGCGAGGGCGAAGGCGAAGGCGACGGTGACGACGACGACGGCGACGGTGACGACGACGACGACGTCATCGACGGCGACTGCGACTGCGGCGACGGCAACGGCGACGGCGACTGCGACTGCGAAGGCGAAGGAGACGGCGACGACGACGACGATGATGACGACGACGACGGCGACGGCGAAGGCGACGGCGTTTGCGACGGCGACGGCGACGGCGTTTGCGACGGCGAGGGCGACAGCCACAGCGACGGCCCCTCCCCCTGGTTCGACCCCCCCGTTCCCTTGCAACTCAGGCCCTCCACCTTCCCGTTTGGAACTCCCCCCCCTTGAACAACCCCTCCTGTCCGATGTAAGGGAGAGAATACATTCCTTAGAGACTTGTCCATTCCGCGGTGAAGCGACACATTCCTCAGTGGTAGTTGCAGAGAAATCTGAAGTTGCTACAGAAGCCCAAAACCTTTCAAGGAGCTCGCTGGCAGCCGTTTTACGGCGCTCCCTGGCAGCTTCTAAGTCGTCCTTGGCAGCTTCTCAGGTGCGTCCTGGCAGGAAGTCTTAGGAATCCTTCTGGATCCCTTCAGGAACCCAATGAATTTTCAGGAATCCACAAGAACCCGCCAGAACCTTCAGGAACCCCATACATCCTCAGGGATCCGCAGGGATCCTTTCGAGGAGCCCCAAGGAATCCCCAGGAGTCCACAGGGAATCCTCAGGGATTCTTTACGAACCCTCAGGGACCCGCAGGGATCCTCAGGGATCCTCAGAAATCCTTCGGAACCCGTAGGACTTCCAAGGAACCCACCAGAAACAGATGGATCCCTCCGCGGTCCATAGGATTTGTTTTAGGAAGCCTTAGGGATCCTAGAGGATCTCCGTGAATCCCCAGGAATCCAAAGGATACCGCAGGTATCCCTCAGCAGTCCTCGGGGATCCTCCGAGATCCTCGCGGGTCCTCAGGACTCTTCAGGAAACCCTGGGAATCCCCCGGGATCTTCATGAACCCTCAGGGATCAGCAGGAATCCCGCGACATCTTGGAGATCAGGAGTCACGAGGCGCCCCCCTATGACCCCGCAAGGAGCCCGACTGATCCTCTGGAAACCCCAGGGACCTTCAGGAATCCGCAGGAATACTTCGGACTCCAGGATCCTCTGGAATTTGCAGAAGCTCTTCCCATGAACCCTCGGGAATCCACAGGGGCCCTCAGGAATCCTGAAGGGATCCCCAGGGAATACATGAAGAATCCTCTTGGATTGCTGGTTTGTCCCATCGTCGCTGATCGTCGCCACCCGTTGCAATCGTCAACTCAAGGAGGAGTTGGATGAAGATGATGATGATGATGATGATGATGATGATGATGATGATGATGATGATGATGATGATGATGATGATGATGACGATGATGCTGATGATGATGATGCTGGTGGTGATGATGATGGTGATCCTGATGACGATGATACTGATCATGCTGGTGACGATGATGCTGATGCTGATGATGGTGATGCTGATCATGACGACGGTGGCGTTGAACGTTATGTTGATGGTGATCGTGCTGATGGTGATGCTGCTGGTGGTGACGGTGGTGATGATGCTGCTAGTAATAAGAATGGCAACGCCGATACCGACGATCTTGATGATGGTGTTGGTGATGTTGATGAGTATGATGACGAGTTTGTTGATCGTTATGCTGGTGATGATGCTGGCGCTGACGGTCCCGACGATGGTGACGATGACAAGGATGATGCTGAATATACCATTGATTGTGACGGTGATGGTGATGGTGGTGGTGATGATCATGATGATATTGATCATGATGTTGGTGATGTGGGTGGTGGATATGGTGATGATGCTGCTGATGATGATGATGATGGTGATGATGATGATGCGTCGGCTGATGATGGAGATGCTGGTGACGACGTTGATGCTGTCGATGATCATGATGGTGGTGGTGGTAGCCGTGGTGGTGTTTGTTATGCTGATTATGAACATGCTGGGGATGATGACGATGACGATGAGAATGTTGATGATGATGATGCTGATGATTATTATGTTCATGATGATGCCCATGATGCTGATGTTGCTGATGATGACGATGATGATGATGACGATGATGATGGTGACGAGGCGGTGGGGGGAGCGTGGGATGAGGATGTGGGTCGACGAGGTTTGAGGGGGGAGGGCAAGGGAGGAGAGAGAAGGTGAAGGATGCAAGGCGTTTGTCGTCGTCGTTCGCCGTCGTCGTCAACTTTCAAGCGTCGTCGTCCTCGTTCCCGTCGTCGTCGTCCTGGGTCGTCGGTCGTCGGTCGCTGCTGCCGACGTGCTCCCTCGCGCGCGCGTCCCCCCAGGGAGATGAGGACGAGGGGGGGGAGGCTACTCAGGAGGAGGGTAGGATGAGGAGGAGGAGGAGCATGAGTGGAAGGGGGGGAGGATGAGGAGGAGGAGGAGGAGCGTGAGAGGAAGAGGAGGAGGAGGAGGACCTCTCATAGAATTCGTTCGATTCGTATTGGGGCTGTCTGGGACTCCTGTGGGGCAGTCTTTGGAATCCATTGAAGCCGTCTTTGGGTTTCCTTGGCCGTCTTGGGACCCTCTTGAGCCGTTCAGAGGCCGTCTTAGAGGCCTCCTGGGTATGCTTAGGGCGTATCTTCACTTGTCGTCGTCGTTCGTTGCGGCCGTCAACGCAAGGAGGAGGGGATGGGAGAAAGAGTAGGAGGAGGAAGAGGACCGTGGGATGAGGAGGAGGATAGATGAGGAGTGAAGGGGAAGGGCGAGGGAGGAGATGCTGATGATTGTGATGTGGTGATGATGGTGATGATGATGATTATGGTTCTGATGATGATGTTGATGATGATGATGATGATTATCAGCATGACACTGATGATGATGACGATGACGATGACGATGACGTCGACGACGTCGACGATGACGAATATTATGACGATGATGATGGTGCTGCTGCTGCTGCTGATGATGATGACGATGGTGGTGATGATGATGGTGATGGGGATTGTGATGATGCTTATGATGCTGACGATGATGATGATGATGATGATGATGATGATGATGATGATGATGATGATGATGGTGATGGTGATGGTGATGGTGATGTTGATGATGATGCTGATGATGATGCTGATGATGATGATGATCATGATGATGGTGATGATGATGATGATCATACGATGTGCGTTTTGACTACGTTTCGTACAGAATCTGGATAAGATTCGTTTACGCCTTGAACGGATTACATGTACGTTTCTGGTGCGCATATTAAGCGTTTTGTTTACGCTAGCGCGTCAGATTTGTTTGATCACGATCCATAGACGTTACAGATACGTATCACATACGGCCCGCTTGCATTTCACATTCGTTGCATACACGTTTCGTTCGTGGTGTCCAGGGGGGGCCTCCCCTCCCCGGCCTCGCGTCTCCAGCGGCGCTCAATATTTTTTGGGAGCGGGGGGGGGGGCACCACGGCTCCAACGTATCAAAGCGTCCTTTTTCCCAGGCGAGCGTCCACGGAACGCGTTCTCTCATAGAGCCCTCACCCTGTCAAATCTTGTAGTCGATTCGCATCTTTTCGGTTTTCGGGCGGGGGTTTCGGCCGCAATGTTTGCGGGCATGCGCATACCAAGGAGTGCTTTGCGACAGGAGATTTGTCCACCCCCGAGGGGTATGCTGGGAGATCAAGGTTACTTACCCTGCTCCAGTCGGGGGTGGGATTTTTCCGACGGTGAGGAGCCGCCTCCTTTAAACGCAGGTTGAGATTAGACCTCGTGGTGGCAATCTGCTGGAGGACCAGGGCGGCAACGCGGGTTAGAAAAGAAGAAGTCTCACGATAACGAGTTCGACCGAGCAATAATAGCAAATTGTCGCATAAAGTTGACCTGCATTCCATGCAGCATTCCCGTCTCGATCGCGCTGCGAAGCCGGCGACACCTACTTGACGCAACGATCCGTTTGCTACAGTTTGTCGTGGTCCTCTGTTCTCCTAGTGCTCCGCACGCCAAAGGCACAGACCTGTTTGCCATCGCCGCCTCGGTCATCATCATCACCGTCATCAGCATCATCATCATCACCATCATCGTCATCATCATCATCATCATCACCATCATCATCACCATCATCATCATCGTCGTCGTCATCATCACCACCCTTTCCTCCCGCTCTCTGCCTGAGCCACGCAGGTGTCCCAGGGCATGCTTCCCGGGGCGAAGGCTCCTGGCAGCCTCGAGGACCAGTTCAAGCAGCTCGAGGCCGGCAACGCCGTCGACGACGAGCTGGCCCGCCTGAAGGGCAAGAGAGCTCTGCCCGCGGGCGGCGGCGCGCCCGCAGGCCACCGCGGGTGGAGCGGGCCCGTGCTCACGCTGGCTGGCTCCCTCTTGGGGCGACGAGATCCATACGCCTCCCTGGCTCGGGTGTTGCCAGAAGTCGTCGTCGGCGGCGGCGGCGGCGTCGTCGTCGTCGTCATCGAGAAACAGGCTTTCGGGCGTTGTCGTGGGATCCTGTAGGTTCTGCTGCCTCGGGATGCAGTCCAGCATCTGCGCCTCGCCGAAAGCGTTCCGGGGGTGCCCGAATTGTCCTGAACGGCCGCCGGAGGCCCGAATTACCACCCGAAAGTCGTCCCTGGCCCAGAATTGGTAGACCTCTCTCTCTCTCTCTCTCTCTCTCTCTCCCTCTCTCTGTGAGACTTTCTCTCTCTCTCTTTCTCTCTCTCTCTCACTCTCTCTCTATATATATATATACATACATGCACATACATAGGTGTGTATGTACGGATTTAGGCATGTAGTTGTTCATGTATATAGTATAGCAGACTATCGTAAATAAATGTGTATACGATTGCAGTGTATTATGTATTAGGTTGGTATGGTCTATGTCAGTGCATCCCATTCCGCTCCATCGTAGTACGTGTTGTTCCGCTGCAATGCTTCAAACAGTAATAGAAAATCACCCAGCGTATTTCATAACACGTTGCTCTCTAGCATACCTATACCATGATATAAGATGCCATACCAGATGAGAACCTACCACTGCAGATAGTGTTATGATCCAAACAGTGCTTGCACTTAGGGGCGCTCACGCTTGTCTTCCAGGGAACCGTGCCCGCGGGCTGCTCTGGTCGCCATGTGGCCGCCGTCGCCGCCCCGTCGCCGCCCGTCGCCGCCCGTCGCCTGGGCCTGCGGGCCGCTCTGGCCGCCACGTGGCCGCCGCCGCCGTTTCGTCGCCGCCTCGTCGCCGCCCATCGGCGCCCGTCGCCTGCGTGCCGCCCGCCTCGTCGCCGCCCGCTTTGCACTGCTTCGCATTGCTTTGCGTTGCTTCTCGTTGCTGCGCATTGCTCGGCATTGTCTGGCACTGTTTTGCATTGTTCTGCACTGCTTTGCACTTCTTTGCGTTGCTTTGCCTTGGTTCGCGCCATTGCGCTGCAATCGCACGGCTTTGCGATCGCATGTCGCTGCGCCGCTGTGCACTGATTCCCCACATCCAAAGTGGGGTTCTCGTTTTCTCTGGACTCCCCACGCGCAGGATCTCCCCTCTCTTTCCGCTCCCCTTTCTTTCCTTCTCACTCACATCCTCATCCGCACTCGCGCACTAATTTACTCACTCACAATTCACTCACTCACTCACTCATTCACCCACTCACTCACTCATCACTCGCTCAGTCGCATACTCGCTCACTCACTTACTCTTCGCCATCATTCATCACTCACCAACGTTGTCACATCACCATCGTCATCATCATCATCATCATCATCATCATCATCATCATCATCATCATCATCATCATCAGCATCAGCATCACCATCTTGTTCTCATCACCGATCATTGATCGTCGTCATCGTCATCACCACCGACATTACCATCATCATCACCAACAACAGCATCAGCATCATTTCCAGCATCATCAGCAGTGCACGCACTCCCTCACTCACTCACGCACCCACTCACACACCCATCTTGAGGAAGCCTCGAGCGGGAGCCTCGTTTGTGAATTGCGAGGAAACCTGAAGTGGGAGACCCGTCCGTATGGGTCCTGCACGTCATGATTTTTAAATCCCAGCGGGCCATCCTCAAACCTGTAGTTGTCGTCACTGTTGTACTCCTAAGGCCTGAATGTGGAGGAAGTCTCCAACGCGCGCCTCGTCTAAGAGTGAATTGCGGGGAAGTCTTGGGCGGGAGACTCTCCCGATGGGTCCCGCACGTCATGTTTTCAATCCGAGCGCGGCATCCTCAAGCCTGTAGTTGTCGTCACTTTTGGACTCCTCAGGCTTGGATTTGGAGGAAGTGTCCAGCGGTCGCCTCGTCTAAGAGTGAATTGCGAGAAAGTCTTGAGTGGACGCCCCCTCCCGATGGGTCCCGCACGTCATGTGTGTAATCCCACCTGGTCATCCTCAAACCTGTAGTCGTCGTCATTTTTGGGCTCGTCTGGCTTGAATATGGAGGAAGTCTCCAGCGAACGAAAACGAAGAGGGACGAAGACGAGGACGAGCAGGAGGAGGAGGAGGAGGAGGAGGAGGAGGAAGAGGAGGAGGACCAAAAGAGGACCAAAACCGGGCCCAGGACACCCTTCCGGATTTCCCCCCCTGTTGGCCCACGACATGTTTGACTCCGTCCAGAGCCTCCCGGGCCTCCCCCCCGCCGCTCAAACAGGTCTTGAGGCTGGCATCAACCAGAGTGGCCCCACAGGGCCGAAGACGCCAGAATATGATGATTCAAGAGGCCCCGAAGACGCCCTAAGAATGCTCCAAGATGCGCCCCGCGAGGGCCTCAGCAACATTGCTTCGTCCCATAAACAAGAAAGTTGTTTGGCGACGGACCCATTCTTGTGCAGTCATGTGTAATGCAGAACGCGCGTCTCGCTTTATACACTGCGCGCCGCGGGGCAATGCGGAAAGATGGCTGCTGCGGAGCACGCGTGCACGGGTGCGCTAGACTCCTTGAGGGGCACACTCCGCGTGAAGGGTGTGCCGAATAATTCGGATGCCCCCGCGCGAGAACGCCCATTGAGGCCGCAGGTGGACCTCGTCCGGGCACGACCTGTGCGAGGCATGTTCCGAAATGGGCCAGGGGGCTCTATGCGCAGCTGCCCATTGGTGCCATAGGTGGAGCTCCTTCTGAGGCATGATTCGCGTGACGGGTGTGCCGACAAGGGCCGGGAGGCGCTGTAAGAATCTTATTTTTGTTTTGGGCCCTCCTTTCGGTGATGTTCCTTGTGGGCACGATCCGCGTGATGGGGTGTGCCGCAATGGCCAGGGGGGGGGGAGGCGCAGTGCGAATCTTGCTTCTGGGGCCGTGCGTGGAACTTTCTGCGGGCCGCGGTCTGAGTGAGAGGTCTGCCGAAGCCAGCTGGGCGATGCCATGAGGCTTCGCAGATGCAGCTGCTTGTGGGGCACGATCCGCCTGAGGGGCGTGCCATCCTGCGAATCTTGTACAGTCGGGGCCCTGAAGAAGGAACCCTTTTCGTTGGGAAGGGGCTCCGCGTTCCTTAAGTGTTTCACAGCTTGCCTCAGGCTTTCCTTATGTCTTCGACAGGAAATCGAAGGTTAATTTATGGAAAAAAGGGGCCTCGTTCCTTATTTAGGCTTCCTTAGGTCAACGCCCCGACTGTATCTGGGGACGTCGGTTGGAGCTCCATGTGGGGCGCGAGCCCTGTGAGCGGTGTGCCGGCAATGGGCGTGGGGACGCTAAAGCCAAGCCTGCCTACGGGTCCGCAGGTGAAGCTCCCTGAGGGGCACACGAGCCGTCTAACAACACACGTCCTCCGATGCCGGACACTTTAGGCTACAGCTCCTGGCATCGCTCGGACGTGTGCATTTTTTCTCGGCGAGGACCATCGAGGAGCATCCTCGATCATTTGGCGAAAAAACCACGCACGGAACCGAAAAAAACACAGGGAATGGACGTCCGAGCGATGGCCAGCAGCTAGAGCGTGCCAGAGTCCGAGCGCGCGCGAAAGGCGCGCGCGGTTCTAGCTCGGATCTACAGATGCGCTCGCATCCATGTCGATGGCACTGCGCGCCATGCACCTAGGCTCTTCAGCGTCAGCCTGCCAGCGGAATGAGACATGGGTAATACATGCACACAGCGATCATTGTTTGTCGCCGTGTTCGTCGTCGTCGTTATGATCTGTGTGCCCTTCTCCTTCCTGCAAGTTTCCTCGTCCTCTTCGTAGTTCTCGCTTTACCTTGGGAGCCCTCCCCCGACCTCGTCAGCTTACGTCTGCGGAGGCTCCCCTTTGGAACACCTCTGGGGGCTTCTTGCGGGCCTCTGGAGGGCTCCCAGGCGCCTTTTTTTAAAGCCTCCGAGGGGGCTTCCGCGGGGCACCTTGCCGCGAACCATGGCCTGTCCCAACGACTGGGCCTCGACTTGGAGTGCTTCGGGGAGGCGGCTTGGGGGCCGTCTTGGGCCGTCATGGGGGGGCGCTTTTCGATGCATGTCTGTGCACATGTATACGGGGCGTTCCAAAAACGGCCGTGCCTTCGAGGATTGAATGAGTTGTCGTCTCTTCCGCCGCGGAAGGTCGGCGGAAGGTCGGCGGAAGCAACACGGTGCCGCCTCCGCGAGCGGAAGCTGGCGGAGGCTCGGCGGAAGGCGGCGGAAGTAAAAAGAAATCGCGTCCAAGAGATGAACACGTTTTGGGGTGCAGGGTTTCCGAAAATCGCCATGCGCCACGTGTGTGCACATGTATATCAGGAGGGGAAAAAAACACACACAGACACAATTAATCGTCGATCCCCAGGAAAATATGGGAAGATATGGGAAGTGGGGGGGAAGACAGAAACCCAGAAAATATGGGAAAATATGGGGAATATGTTTATTTCTGTGTACTTGTTCGTGTGTCCTGGGGCCCCTTCAGTATAGGCTGTCTGGCCAGGTCAGGGGGTGCATGCATTGCTCCTGGGCCCGGGAGATGGGCCCGACCGGGGGCGGGGGATGTGAATGGATCTCGTCGCCCGCCCTTCCCTCGGCCCCCGCCGCCTTGCCAGGGCCCTCCCGCCTGGCTCCCTTCCCTTCCGCCTGTCCCCCCCCCCCGAGGTCACTTCCCAGACATGAACCTTGGCATCGCTCGGACGTGTGCACTTTTTCCTTCGACGAGGACCATCGATGAGCATCCTTGACCATGTGGCGAAAAAAACACGCACGAAACTGAAAAAAACACAGGGAATGGACGTCCGAGCGATGGCCGGTGATGGCGTCGTAAGAATATCGTGACGAAAGGTTTTTTGCTGTTTTCGGCCCCCTGGGAGCTCTCGCAGGGCCTCGGGACCGTCGAGAAACGATTCGGGACACAAAAAACGGTCCCTGGGAAAGGGTTGGCCGGGACTTCCAGGGACGCCGTCCTGAAAAATCAGGGCGTCGCATGTCTGGGTTGCCATGGCTGTGTTGGAGAAGACGAAACGACACGAGCATACAGGTTTCAGGCGATCGCAAACGTGGATCAAGGGGTCGTGGATTAGCGACGGGTGCCGCTTCTATCGGAAATCGCCGATTTCTACCGCCGAACGAGGCGGCACCGGCCGCATTTTGGGGAGGGCACCTCCCCGATCCATGGATTTGGCGACCGCGCGCCAAGTCCATGGATCGCTAATCCATGTTTGCGCGCCCCCGAATTTTTTGAGGTCCGCGCGGGTTTTGTCGGATCGTCGCCGGACCTCCATGGCGCTCTGCGCCCCAGGGAGGGGGTTCCAGCGCCGCGACAAGACATCTGCGCGGATCTCCGAACGTTTCAACTTCCGTTTGTTTTTCCTCTTCTTCGTAGTTGCTTGTTTGTGGTAGGGTGGGGTGCTATGTGTCGGGGCGTCATGGGCTGGGAGGCATTCCGAGAGGACTCGTTCTGGACGCGGCACGCTTGCCGGTATGGCGGTTGGCACGGCGTGAGAGCACCGTTATGCAGAGGAGGAACAGGTACCCATACCGCTACCCTGGTTTTCCCCTCTTTGGTCCTCCTGGGCGGCCCTCGCCGCCACCGCTGGATTCGCGTCAAAAATCCTGATCAGAACGCACCCCGGGAGAGGCCTGGGGAGTAGCGGTATAGGTACGGTTATGGCATAGGGGCGTGGGCAGATGCTAGGAGCATCGGGAAGCAGTTCTCTCTTTGTCTGAGTGGGTTGCAAGGGATGGGCGGGGTGCACAGCAGGAGCCAGGCGACGCTTTCAGGGACATTGCTGCGGGTGGCCTAGGGAGCTGCAGAGGCGTGGGACGGCCTTGCGCGGGGCAGAACGCACGCTGATACCCGCGCGAACCCCGCACGGGGGCGAGAAGAGTCGGGGAAACCTAAGGCTCGAGTTCGCCGGAAGTCGGGCGTGCCTGCGCTTTCTGACAGGCCCGTCTCGTCGGGTTTTGGTGGTGCAGTTTTCGTGGGATGATCGCAGCGTGAGCTCGCGTCAAATTTCAGATTGGGTCTCGTCATCTCTCTGACGGCCCCGACTCGCCAGCTCGGGTCCTCCAAGCTCGAGCCTGACGTCGCCCCAAAGGAGGGACAGCGGCCGAAGGGGGGGATTCGCCGGTGAGCACCTCCGAGGCGGCGGGGCCGTGGACCCCCTGGATGCCGAGCTCGAGGCCATGAGGAAGAAGCTGAAGGACTCGAAGTGAGCGCTCGCCGGCACGCCGGGTATCTTCAGACCCGGGGGGGCGCGGGGAACAGCGGAGGGCGGGGACAGCTTTGGCCTCCGAGAGCGACCTCGCAGGGTTCGCTCACACGCGCAGCTTCGTTCCGCCCTCCGGTGCGAGCGACTTCTGGGGGACGCCTCCCAGGGGCCCCGATTGGCACCCACGGCCCTGGACAGGAGAGCTGCGAGATCGCCGCCGCTGTCGGGCGCTCTGGCTCGGCGTGCCGCGTCGCCGGTTCGTGCCCCCCACGCTTCGGCGCGACACGCTCACCACGTCCCGGTCCCCAGGCGTCAGCGTCCCGAGCTTCTCTCGAGCCTCCCGCCACACGGAGCAGAGCGAAGCGCTGCCCGCTCGCAGGGCAGGGCGTGTCGCCCGGGCCGTCGCCGCGGCGCGCCAGGCAGAAGTGCCCGACCGCAGCCTCCCTGCCAGCTCCCTGGGCCGTGCCCGGCTCGGCTCCTGAGCCTGTGGAGCAGGCGGATGCCCTTCGGGGGCGGCCAAGAGGGGGGGGGCCGACTAAGCGGGGGGGGGGGGATCTCGTGGCCGGGGCCATATATTTCCCCACATCTCATGGCGCGTCCTCTTCTTTGAACGCGTCCTTCGTGCGCACACGCCGCCGGCCATGCTCTGCGCCCTCCCCCTCTTGGACGCCCTCCTCCTGGACGCCCCCGAGGCCTGGCCAGACCCGGGGGGGGCGAGCGGGCTGCTCCAGCCGAGAGCCTGTCCGGTCCAAGGCCGTGGGGTGAGCCCGCCCTCCTTTGTTCGCCAGGCCCCCTCCATCTGTCTTTGTGTCCGACGCAGGCATCTCCACACCACCGCCGTGCCAGGCCAGGGCCATCCTGGGCCCTATAGGATGGCGTACAGGCCCTCCTGGCCTCGGCCAGGAGGGCGTGTGCACCATCCTGGGGCCCAGCCGTCCCCTGGCCTGGCACGGTGGTGGTGTAGAGAGGTTTTCTGCGTATTGTGGAAGACGATGAATGGAGATGGGGCATGTTGCAAACATAGCTCCCAGATGTCGAAAGCATGTTTCAGACATGTCTGTAAAGTGCGGAAGCATGGCTTGAACATGTTTTTAAAACTTATGACATTGAAACGCATGCATACTTCAAGGATCGAACGGTTAGAGTGTCCAAGGTCATGGCATCCACAAATCTATCCAGGCATCCCAGATGGGGTCCGAGTGGATGGTGTCGGAGGATCGCGCCGCATCGCCGATGCATCGGCGATGCGGCTCGATGTGGGGCCCGGCTTTCTCCACGCCGACATCGAGGATGCGTCGCCGACGTCGGCGATGTATCTCCGATGCGTTCCCGATGCATCGACGACGCGGTCCGATCCTTCGACCCCGTCTACTCCGACCCCATCTGTGAGGCCCCTTATCTAGTCATGGACCTGGTCTACACACGACGCGGCCTTCTCCGGGACACAGCTGGATACACATACGCACACAGTTGACCGAACGCCTTTCCGGTGCTCGGCTCATGTTTGGCAGGGCATTGCTTAGCGGACGAAGAACAGTATGATGACATATCTTTCTGCCACCGGGGACTCCTGTCCGCTCTAAGACAGGCGTGCCCGATGGCGGAACAGGTTACTTTGTACCGTTATTCGTCCGGTAAACGATGGTCTTCCACAGAGGAATCTGGCGCGCAGATTCGGCATGCTCCTCAAATCCAGTCGTGTGTTCTTCCAGCTCTCTGGCATTTATACTTCCTGCAGCCTTTTTTTATTCGCGGCCGCGGTCGGTGGCTTGAAGGCAGGCGCGCTGCCCGAAGGGGCTAGGAGCCCGCGACGTGAGCGAGCCGCTGTGTCGCGAGCAGGAGGAGGAAGGTGATCAGGGGAATTGGGAGAAATGAGGAGGCGGATGATGCGGAGGAGGAGGTGGAGGAGGAGGAGGACGAGGAGGAGGAGGAGGAGCAGTAGTATAATGACCAGACCGCCACCTGCCCACCACGATAAGATCAGCGACGGCTCCGTCCAGGAGCCCCCGTTTTTCTTGGTTCCCCTTACTGCGCACTCATGATCGTAGAAGGTATTGCAGAGGGCCGCCATCTTCCGTTCATCATGGGCCACTGGGGGATCTCTCGGTCCTGTGACCACGATCAGGATCGTCCTCAGAGCGCGGCCTAGATACTGGCACACGGGTGCCCCCCTTCGCAGCTCTGAGAGCCAAAGAAAAGAAGCG